TCTTGCTATTACAAAGAAAGCTGCTATGAACATAGTTGAGCATGTGTCCTTGTGGTAAGATTGAGCATTCCTTGGGTATATGCCCAAGAGTGGTATAGCAGTATGGAAGATTTTTAGTTTTATGAGGTCACAGTTTTCAATTCTTGGACTCTAATTCTTGACAAATAGAATCCTGTTTGGAAAAACCCTGTCATACACTTGTAACTTGAAAGATACTGCCTATGTTGTATTCTAGGGTGTCCAGTGTTTCAGGAGTCAGATTGAGGACTTTGACTCACTTGTATTTAATTTTGTGAAAAGCAATAGATTGGAATTAATTTTAATGTACTGCAAGTAGACACCTAGGTTCCTCAGGGGCATTCTTTGAAGACACTGTCTTTTCTCCAGGGTAGGCGTTTTGACATTTGCTAAGGTCCACATAGCCATAGTAATGAGTACTTGTACTTGGGTCTTCTACTTGATTCTATTGGTCTATAAGTCTATTTTTGCGCCTGTACAAGATTGCAATATTTTATTATTCTCTTTATGTTTTAACATAATGATAGTATTACTTCACTTCCCCTTCCTTTTTTCCCATCTAAACAATCCCATATGCCCTTTGTGCTCTCTTCCAAATTCATAACTTCATTTTTCTGGAATTGTTCTCACATAAATATATGTATGTGTTTATTCCTATGATTTTTCCAAATAGGAAAATACAACCTGTTCAGTACGTGTAATGTTACTTATGTGTTTACAAGCCTACTATTTGGTATTGAATAACCAATTACTATGCTCCTCAATAGAAAGATTATATCTCCCAATCATGGCTTTCATCAGTTGCTTGTCAGTTTTATCTCTAGGACTGAGGCCTCATGATGTTTCCCCAGTCTACTCTGGCATGCCTATTGCTGTTGTCATCCTTATTCTGCTGCTATTGAGCCAGTCATATAGATGACACCTTGTGGGTATAGCTTCTGATATTACTAGGATAAAGAATCTCATACCAAACTCCCTGACCCTCTGGCTCCTTCTATCTTTCTGGCCCCTCTTACACAATGTTCTCTGAACTTTAGGTATGGGGATGTTTTTAAATATATCCATTGGAACTAGCCTCCACATCTCTGCCTTCTGATTGGTTGTGGTTTTCTGTAATCATTCAGTGTGTTGAAAACAGAAGTTTGATTTAAGAGAGGTGAAGAATACACTTTTCCATGGGTATAAGTACAAAATTGTGGTTGTTTTTGTGTGTATCATTGTTGTTGTCATTGGTGCTGTTAAGGGCTATGCTGATTTAGTAAAGTGGCAGTTATTTGTACTGTACATCACATCATTAGCGTGGGTAGTTAGCTAGGTTTTTTAACCTTCTAGCTCTATAAGATATCTTAAACACAGCAATGATAATACCTCCTATATTCTTCATTTATCACAGGATTCGTCATGTCATAAAATCTAGAGTCATTTCTGGTTCCATATGAAAATTAGGATGTATATTCTTTCCTATTTGTGTGAAGAATGTTATGTTTTTTTGTTTTTTTTTTAATTTTGCATTGCATTATATCTGTGAATTGGTTTTTTTTTGCTGGATGATCATTTCTCCAATATATGTTCTACCATTTTATGATTATTAAATGCCTTTTCACTTAGTAGGATTTTTTCAAAACCTTTCTCCTGAGATTGGAAGTTTACTTTCTTCTTCTTGGTTATGTAGCACCCAAAATATTTTCTTTTAAAGAAAGATGCTCTTTTAAATGGGATTCTGTTCATGATAACTTCCTAAGGTGGCCTTAGTTTTGGTATACAAAAAGGCTGCTGATTATTGTAAACTGATTCTTTCCTTGTCATGTTGTTTAAATTGTTGAATTTACTAGACGAGTTCTGGGACAGTTTGCCTATATCTTAGGTATAATAGCATGTCACCTGAAGTTGGAGATATAGTAAGTTCATCTTTTCATAGATCTGTGATTTTAATTTCCTTCACTTCCTGTATTGCTCAGTGTAATACATCAAATACTACATTGTAAAGGAGTGGGGGATAGTGGGCACCCTGTCTTCTTCAAGATTTTAGTAGGTTTCCCTTGCAGTATTTCTACATATAGGATGGTGCTGGCAAGTATGTTTGTCAGAGATAGTTTGCAATATTTTGAAATATGTTCCCTACATTAATATTCTCTCTTGGAGTCCTATTTATAAAGCGTGAGATATGCTGTCTAAGGCTTTTTCTTCATCTATTGAGTTAATCCTGTAAATTTTTGCCTTGATTACATTTTATGATTTATTGTATTTATAGAATTCTCTATGTTGAACCATGCCTGAACCTCTAGAATAAAGACACTTTAATCATTTAGAAGATCTTCTTAAAATGGGCATGTATTCATTTTTCTAGTTTCTCTGTTCATGGGCACATCTCTCTCTCTCTCTCTCTCTCTCTCTCTCTCTCTCTCTCTCTGTGTGTGTGTGTGTGTGTGTGTATGTGTGTGTGTGTGTTTTCTATGGTGGGTATTAAATTAAATGGCTCTTTATATTTTGATGTGATTCTTTGTATTCTATGTTTCAAATAAAATTCTATGAGTTAGGTTGTAATTCTTCTTTGAAGGAATTGTGGTATGAATGGTGTCTTTTTTATGAGTCTCCCCATTAATTTTAAGAGCAACTGAACAAGTTTTCACTTTCACCAATAAGGAACAAATGCAGCCCTTTGTATCCTCATCAGCTTGGGATATCATTTCTTTTAGTGATCTTGGTTATTCTGACTGCAGTAAGACAAAATCTCTAAGGAGTTTTACTTTTTTTCCCCTGATGGCTAAGACTTTTATGTTTTTCTCAGCCATTTGTATTTCACTTTCTGAAAACATCCTTTTTAGCTCTATAATCCATACTTTGAAATAGAGTCATTTGTTTTCTGAAGTTCATTTTGCTGGCAGGGCAGAGAAAGGAGGTTCAGTGGGCATTGTTAACTTGCAAAACTGTCACCTTTGGGAGGCTTCAGGCTGGTATGAGAACTAATCTGCAAAAAAAAAAATCTGCAATGTGATGCATGAAGATTATCCCTGACCACCATGAAAGTACTACCAACTAAGACTGGTATTAAAATCATCTCTCTAGTATTCTTGATTTAGAAATTACAATTCAGGATACACTTAGAAATTATACTGCTTGATGAACAGAACATTGGTAGTTGGATATGTTCATGAAACCAAGCATGATTTACCTTCTATAACTCAATACATAAGTTCAACTAATCACCTTTGAGTTACTTCTACGAATGGGCATACTTTACCCATGTGGTTACTATGTGAATGCTGTGTATTAGAACTTCCATGCCATTTGAAGACTTAGCAGCTTAGATAGCAACTTTTGATAGTAAAAGAAGTAGTCATATTCCATTTACCTCTAAAATGACCACTTATAAGTAATTGAAGACCAAGGGGCCAGGACAGAACATGAATACATATTAGAAACATCAAGAGGACACAGTTGGGCTACAAATTTCTGAGTAAACCTCTCACTCTCAACACACACACATACACACACACATTCAAGTAAATATGAAATTTCATGATGAAGATGGAAAAATGGAAGATTTTGAGGGTACAGAAATAGTAGTTATTAGTTGGAGGATAATGGTAAAATTGATGCAAATAGACACTGAATATACAAAATTTTCAAAGAAACAGTCAGTATTTTTTCTAAAGTAACATGGTTTTACAAGGCAAACAAAAAAAGATTAAATAACAGGAGTGTTCAGTTTTTTTGTACAACAAAAACCAGGTCATTGTTCCTTATTCAATCTTTTGCTGATAAATATTGAATGTAATTTGCATCTGTTATATCTTTATACTTCAGGAAACTGGATGTAGCAACACTGTCTAAAATCTTTTCTTTTTTTTTTTGTTCCAAGCCCTTTTAAAAAGATCGCATCTGTCTTTTCTATTTTGATAGCTAACTACATTCTAAGGAATCATTGTAATACAAACAGAAAATTATAATATATACACAAATATTTGTAGAGCTTGGTATCTATGGAATATACTTCTCATGAATTTACTCTATTCTTTAAATGTGAATGACTCATATGTACCCTAGTAAAGCATATCCAGATTCATTTACTCAATGAAGTCATTTAACAAAAGATAATCTCCTCACATGTACTTTTGAAAACAGATTTCATCCTCTCTCTTAAATAATGTGGAAAATGGAGGCAGACCCAAAGAGTTTGTTATGTGAAACCTTTTAGTGTGTTAGGACCATTAAAACACAAACCACAATTTACAGATGAAAGAGTAAATATGAAGCACAACATAAAATTCACTTCTGCAGTGTTCATGTCCATGGTTCCAGTAATTGTGACATTTCCAAATATCACAATAGTTTTCAGTAATGCAGATATTATATTGCAGAAATCTACGACCAGGGGCCAGGCTGAGCTCTTGGAATCCAATCAATAAGAGAGAGGAGAGATTCTGAAGGCAGGGCACTTCAGAGATCATGATGGGAAGACATGCAGGGATGATCGGCCACACTAGTGGAAGCCCATGAACTGTGGACTGGTGGCTGTGGAGACCCCATGGGACTAGACTAGGCCCTCTGGATACAGAAGACGGTAGTTTGGCTTGTACTGTTTGGGGGGCACCCAAGCAGGGGGATCGGAGTCCAACCTTGGTGCATGCACAGGCTTCTGGGAATCCGGTGACAGTGGTTTAAAGCCTTGTGGAGCCTTGGTGCGGTGGGAAGGGGCTTGGACCTGCTTAGGCTCAGTGTGCCTGGCTCTGCTGACTCCCCATTGGAGACCTTGACTTGGGGGATGTGGGGATGTGGGGATGTGGAGTGGCTTGGGAGGGAGGGCTGTGGGGTGGGAGGAGGGAAGAGTGGGGATCTGTGGGTGATATGTAGAGTGAGTGGAAAATTTCATAATAAAGAAAAATGAAAAAAAACCCACAGATATCAGTTGTTATACTGATTATTTTAATTAGCTTAGTGGATATTTATGGGTTTTTGAATGAGATCATTTTCACACGGTCTTATTGCTTCTTGAATCACTTTATTTAATCATTCAGAAAAGTAAGAACAGCTCATAGATCACGAAAAAGGAAAGGAGAGGTAAGTCAGAAATTTGGAATGTGGTATGCTGACTTCACAGGAGTGGGGACAATTCATTCAGAAAGAAATGGTGATTTATATGTGATACTGATTCCATGGTCAAGAGGATATGATGCATAATTGTCATCCGGTTGTCCTCTGTGCAAACATGAAAGCAAAAATGAAAACATAGTTGAAAGGACAGGAAAGATTTCATCCTTGAGAGTGCATGAACACAAAATTAAATATAACAATATAGAGTATAGAGAAGGGATTATACACAAACAGTTCCTTTCCTAGAAACCACAAGTATCTTATACTTTGGATTCCATAGGAGTATTTTCTACAGGAAATAATGACATTCTGTGGCCTCACATGAAATTTGAGATTGAGAGGATTCAAAAATACATAGAAAAGTTCAGCATGCTTGCACCATATCTGTGGCAAATAATATTCCACAATCATAAATCAACTGAGATTTTTCAAATGACAAGATACATTTTTTGATGTAATATTACACAATATGAATGTATTAGTACTTCTGAATAAGATAAAATTCCTTCATATTACTAAAATATTCTATCCTTTACTTTTGTCACTAAGATGTTTAGCTTAAAAAGACAGATATTATGCTGTCCTGATTTTGTCTAATTTTGTGTTCATTATTTTCCTTTGTTACAGACTTATTTCTAATTGTTTATGTAATAAGCACAAATACATTTAAATATCAAGATGATTAAGCATAACTTCTGTTTCTACTCACCTACAGAAGGTCTTTACATGGGGCAAGTATCTGTAAAAGAAAGGGAATGGGGTAAGGAGAGACAGAAATGTTATCAT